ACACTAGTACTAACATCCCCTAATTTTGGTGGAAGTTTTAAAGAAATATTTAAATAGGTTGTAGTGCAAATTACAAACTGGACCAGATTTGAAAACTTGAGGTAGGGCTCAAAATATCCAAATGACTAAAAGAGATTTTTGCATAAAAGTGATGTGGGAACATCACATGACATCCCCAAATTTTGGTGGAACTTTTAAAGAAGTATTTGCAAGGGTTGTAGTGCAAATGGAACTCTAAAACTAATGAAAAATCATTTTTTAAGAAATAAAGCTTAGGAAAAATAATTGTAGAAATAATTCCACTAATAAAAAGAAATGGTCTTGGAAAGATATACAAGTCCAATAATATTTTTGAAAGGTTTCCACCTAGAAGGAAAAACTCAAAAAAATCAGAGGGACAGAGTGGTCTGAAATTAAATGATAAAACCAGAAAATAAAAGTTTAATTTCCTGGCAAAATTTTAATTAATAAATCAAGGTCAAAATTTTGGGGTGTTACAGATCACAGGATGATTTGGCGGTGCTCAAAGGGATTCTCATCAAGTATGAGGCAGCCTCCGGACAAAAAGTTAATCTTCAAAAGTCCACTATCTTTTTCGGGAAGGGATGTCCTAATGAGGACAAGGGGCCGTTAATGCAAGCAATTGGGATCCAAACAGAGGCACTTGGTGAAAGATATTTGGGCCTACCAAGAGTGGTGGGCAAATCTAAGGATGGAACGTTTAAGTATGTAACGGAGTGCTCGAAAGGCAAGGTCTCGGGATGGAAAGGGCAAGGCCTCTCTAAGGCAGCGAGAGAGGTGCTTGTCAAATCGGGATTGCAATCTACACCAACTTTCACCATGAGCTGTTTTCAACTCACAAAGAAGATGTGCAGGAACCTGACTTCAATTTCGTCAAACTTTTGGTGGGGTGAAGCAAATGGAGAAAAGAAGTTGCATTGGTTAGCATGGGAGAAGATGTGTATGGAGAAGAGGGACAGAGGGCTTGGGTTCAGAGACCCAGTAGCTTTCAACCAAGCTTTGCTTGCTAAGCAGGCTTGGCGAGTGTTGCAATGCCCGGACTCCCTATGCGCTAGAATTTTGAAGGCCCGGTACTATAGAGACGGCTCTATTATGAACGTTACCCGCCCATCCGGTGCGTCCTACACTTTCCGGAGCATGATATATGGGCGGGACCTGCTAAGAGAAGGCACGATCTGGCGCATAGATGATGGGTCAAAGATCAATGTCCACCACGATAATTGGATCCCGAGACGTGGGAGTATGAAGCCGCTGGGACAATCTTTTGTTCCGGGGGCTATCAAGGTGCAGAACCTCATGACGCCGGATGGAAGGGGATGGAATCAGGAGCTGGTGGATGACATGTTTTCGCCAGATGATGCAAAGGATATCAAGCAGATAGCTATTGGTGGGCCTAACATGGATGACTACATAGCCTGGAACTTCACGAAGAACGGGTTGTTTACGGTGAGATCAACCTATCATCTGAGGATGGCGTTGAACGGGGTGAAGTCCGGACGGCCGGGCCGTTCCTCCTTGGTCAACGCGCACAAGGGCTGGCTCGCGCTGTGGGATGCTAGTGCCCCAAATAAGGCTAAAATTCATATGTGAAGACTCATGAGAAATGGGTTAGCTGTTGGGACGGAGCTTCACCGTCGTCATATCAAGCCGGGGGTGTTTTGTGTGGCATGTGGACGAGAAGAGGACCTCCTCCACCGTTTTTGGACATGTCCGCATTCAGCCTTGTTTTGGAGGATGCTGCGTTCGGAGAAAGGAGTTATGGTGGCAGCCCCACCGTGTCAGATCGACTCCTCGAGCGCGCTGTCGTCATGGCTGCCTGGGTGGTTCGCGGAAGCAAGAGAGGAGGAGAGAGCCACGATGATCCAGGCCTGCTACGGCTTGGGGCTGGCAAGGAATGAGGCAAGGGACGGTAAGAGGATCGCATCACCACATGAAATAATGAACTCTGTATGTGCGTATATGGCTGAATGGTATGCTGTCCATAGGAAGGAGGCCCAGCCAAAAACGACGAACGAATCTGCCAAGTGGAAGCCGCCGGACCAAGGGTGGATCAAAGCTAACGCTGATGGTGCGGTCTCCAGGTTTGGCGACAAAGGAGGAGCGGGGGTCATCCTACGTGGCCACGCAGGGGACTTCCAAGCGGCAGCATGCCACATCTATCGTCATGAATCTGATCCTGAAAGCGTGGAGATGCTTGCATGCAAACGAGCTGTCCAGCTAGCTGTCGAGATCAACGTCAGAAAACTCCACCTGAAGACTGATAACAAAACGGTGGCATCGTTGCTTCAGGCAAAAGAGAAAAGTTTGGCTGCCGTGGGGCCAAGGGTGCAAGAGATTAAAGACATGTTTTGTTTTTTCGACGAGGTGAAAGTTTCATGGGTTGGTCGTTCTGCGAATTCCGCCGCGCATAAGTTAGCAAAAGTAGGAGTAGGAGATGAACTTTGTAAGGTTTGGCTTATGGTTCCCCCGGAGTTTGTACTTTCGGAGATCCCATACTTGATTTAATTCCTTAAATAAAGCGGCAGTTTTCCCCCTCAAAAAAAAAACTTCTACTGCAGAGGTCTACATACATGCACATATACTCACCCTTATGACGCACGCACGCGCGCATCGCCTATCTCTATGAACATCTTCAAGCTACTGAGACAACATCACATCTCAAAATTGATGAAATCATCACGTGCGCCTCATAGTCGACGGGCAAAAAAAAACTAACCATCTCGCATCTCACGTAATCGCAACAAACATCGCAAGAAAAAGGTACTCGTAACAAAATTGTGGCAGGCTGGGCACCGGCTAATAATTGTGCGCATCATTTCTACGGCTCGGCATGCACCGGCTAATAATGCAACGTAGAGGGGGGGAAACCGGCACCACACGGCCTCGTTTTCTTGGATACTTTGGCCATGGGGACATGAATATGATCACGAGTTCAAGACACAAGGAATGAAGGAATGTGAAAAAAGGTACTGCTGCGTGGAAAATACATTTGAGCATACTGACCTTTGCCAGCCACCACTGGCTGTCCATACACACGCTGCCCTTCCGTATTTGGCATTTGGCACCAACCCCAGGTTCATTCCGGCCTTATAAAATGTACCCAAACATTGCACGTACTTCCTTCATTCCTAAATATAAGTCTTAACGATATCCATTCCTTCCCAATGGCCCTCGCGTCGCCCCCTCCCCGGGGCGACACGGGCGGCGGCTCTGCCTCCGGCCATCGCGCCCCCTCCGCACCCCTCTCCCCTCGCCGTCACCGGTGGACCCCGCCGGGCGAAGCCTGCGCGGATCTGGCGGCGGCAGGGCCACTTCTTCCCGCCGGCTCCGGCCGCTCGCGGGGGGAAGCCCACGGCGACGGGCGGCGGATTCCAGCTGGCGTTCGGCGCTTGGCGGCGGCTGCGGGCAGGGGGTGGGGCGCTGGGGCGGCGGCCTCGGTCCGAGCATCGACCGTGACCTGGGCGTGGACGGCGCGCGTGTGCGAGGCGGCTCTCGGCTCTGGATGTGCATGCGGGGTGCAGATTGAAGGTCGGGAGCAGCGGCGGGCGCGGTGACTGCCGGGGCGCGGCGGGCGAGCGTGTCCGAAGCTCGAGGTGTGTTGCGGTGGAGGGATTGCTCGTCTGCTCTGCTGCTTCGCTGGAGCGGCTCCGATCCGAATCTGGCCATTGGTGGTTCCCTGATCTAGCTGCTAGTCCTTGTGATGCGTCGGTTGTTGTGGTGGTGGTGGTCGCGGTGGTGCTGCGGTGGTGGACGGCGGCTACGGCCAGGGGGTGGTGCGTGCCTGGCACGGTGGATCATGGGATCCCGCGTCCAGAGTGAGGTCGGCCTCGGCAGGTATGGTGGATCGTGGGCGGCGGTCAATGGCGGTAGGTGGTCGGTACATGTCCAGGAGAAATTCTTGTTCTGGTCTTCATCGGAGCCAACGACGGCGGCGCCCATGGGTGTCGCGGCCTTTCTTGAAAGCGTCGTTGTGAAGGTGTGCTCCTCCTCCCCATGGCTTTGGCTCCAGGGGGAAACCTCCGATCCACTAGATCGGGCGATGGAGGCATCCTCGCGTCTTTCTCCTCCTTGGGGGCATCGTCTCGGAGTCGGCTACGACCGAGAGACCGGTGGATGGCGGTATCTTCGCCGTGTGGTTTGCTGAGGCAGGGCGCTTGTTTCTGTTTTGGCAACAATGATGACGTCGAGAGGAGCTCGGGTCGCGGCATGGACTTTGGTAGTCGGTCCTTTCCGGCGTGTTCGAGGTGCTCTTCCGTAGGTTGCTTGGTTGCTTTGAAGTCAGAGCTGTGGTGGAGCGGATCCAGGTGGTGACGATGACAGACACTCGGTGGTTGTCTGCGGAGGGCATGATCGGCGCAAGTCCTGCATATTTCCCTTGCGATGCTCGTCATCAAGTCGGAGATGTCGATCGCTTGCGTGTGTGGCCATCTGTGGGCATGTGTCGTCATGGTTTCTGCGGCTGTTTGCGGGTCGGCTTCGATGATGGAGCTCTATGGTGAAGTCGGAGTCGCCCGTTCGGGGCAACCGGTGATAACGATGACGCTTGCGACTCCTCGGCGGATGTCTTTCTTCTTTGCAGCTGTGTTAGATGTCGGTGGCCAGGTTGGCCGGTGGTGCCCATGTTATATGGGTTGGGTTGTATCGGTTTTAGCCTGGTTTTCCGTCAATTAACCGGGTAATTCTCTTCTTGGGCAATTCTCTTCTTCTTAATCAATGAAAATGGCAAGTCTTTTGCCTCGTTTCAAAAAATATATAAGTCTTTTTAGAGAGTGCACTACAAACTACATACGGATGTATATAAACATATTTTAGAGTGTAGATTCACTCATTTTGTTTCGTATGTGGTTCATAATGCAATCTTTAAAAAGACTTATATTTAGGAACGGTGGGAGTACATTCCACTGCATGCACCCCATAGCGTACGTTTCTACAACTTGCATTTTTTTTCCTTCACGTCTTGGATTTGGTAGCGCTCGTTCATGGCGGTGTCACTGCCGGCATTCGCGGTGCGTCGAGGCGAGCTGGTGCTGGTGGTGCCATCGGCGCCGACGCCGCGGGAGGTGAAGCCGCTGTCAGACATCGACGACGCGGAGGGACTCCGGAGGTTGCAAATTGCAACTTGTGGGCCCCCAGCAGCCTTGGCCCTAGGACATCGACGACGCGGAGGGACGCCGGGCTGCATGCAGTTACAGAAGGCCGTCGGCGAGCTTGCGCGGGGCGCCGACGTGCCGACGCTGACGCCATGGGGCAGGGAGATCTTCATGGCGCGGCAGCACCGGCAGCCGTCGTATCCTACCCGCACCTCGAATACCACCGGGAGCCGGCGGGGGGCCGACCGGATGCTGTCGACCCATCGGGCCCGGGGCGAAACTTAAACTTGGGCCCTTAATATAGACTTCATAATAATAAATGAATATACATATGTATATATATAATAATTATTATTTTTTTGCGAGAATATATATAATAATTATTATCCATAAGACTTGAATTAATCCTATGTATGCGTATCAAATAATTTATAAATATTACCTTAAAATTTTCTTCTAACATTCCTCGAAGTAAAGTGACTTCTGATGGGGTTGATGCCAATCTCATCCAATAATTTCTTGTCGATGGATAATGTTGCCAAACTATTTAACCTCTCCTGATTCAATAATCTCTTTGCGTCTGCGTGAAAGCCCAGCACCCAGCCCTTCACTTTCTTTGACATAGGCCCATAGGCTGGGGGCCCCTGGTTTTGGGGGGGCCGGGGCGGCCGCCCCCTCTGCCCCTCCCCAGGGCGTCGACGCGCCCCAACGACATGGTGTGCGTCCCGTTCTTCTTCGGGCTCCGAGAGATCTCGGGGCTGCGGCAGTGGGCACCACCCCACATGCGCGACGACTTCTCCCGGTTCGAGCTCGTGGCCGCCTCTATGTGGCGCAGCAGCACAGCCGTGCTTGGCTACACAACCGACAAGGAGGTGCGCCTGTCTTTCATCATCAACGTTCGCGGCCATGCCGGCACCCCTCTCCCGGAAGGCTTCTACGGGAACGCATTCGCGTACTCCACCGCGGCGACCACCGCCGGGGAGCTCTGCGGCGGGGGCCTCGGGCACACGCTGGAGCTGGTGAAGAAGGCCAAGTCAGCAGTGACATACGACTACCTGTTGTCGGTGGCGGACCTGATGGTGCTCATGGGGCGGCCGTTGTTCGCCTGTCGCGGATGTACATCATGTTGGACGTGAGCCACGCCGGGTTCAAGAGCGTGGACTTCGGGTGGGGGGAGGCCGTGTACGGCGGCCCTGCCAAGGGAGGCGAAGGACCGATCCCCGGCGTCGCCAACTACTTCTTGTGGTCGAAGAATGGCAAGGGGGAGGAGGGCACCCTGGTGCCCATCTCCCTGCCCAAGAACGTCATGGAGAGGTTCCAGCTCGAGGTGGCAGGCCTACGGCCGAGCTCTATCGGAGCTTTACGTGACAACCCCAAAATAAATGTGTGTGTCATCTAAAAAATGTTCACACATTTTTTTAAATGTACGTGACATTTTTAAAACTTAAAAAAATTATGGAGAAAAACTGTTACAAAATGCTCATATAATTCAAACAAAATGGTGTGTACCATTCAAAAATATATATATTACATTTCATAAAATGTCCGCACATTTCAAAGAAAATGTTTTGACATTTGATAAAAAATATACAATATAAAATAAATCTCACAGTTTTAAAATATATTTCATGTCATAAAAAATGCTTCAACGTGTATTTGAAATATTTAACACATATTGGAAAAGGAATATTAAAACATGTATATGAAACAGTTTTAATTATATATTTAAAAATGTTAAAAATATATCAAAACATCATTTAGATGTATATACAAAAAATATACAATGCGTATGGAAAAAAATAAACATCAAAACATATATTTGAAAAAATTAACCATATATATATGATTGTTAAGCATATATCAAAAAATGTTTTAGATGGATAAAAAAATGTACAATTTGTCTGAAAAAAAACAGGCATCAAAACATTTATTTGCAAAAAATGTTAACCATGTATTTAAAAAATGTTAAACGTGTAAGAAAAGCAAAGAAAGCAGATGCAAACAGTGAAAAACGGATTAAAAAACCTGTTGAAAACCGACACCAAAAACCAAAAAAAGAAGGAAGAATGTCTACAAAAATACAAGAAAAGAGAATTAAAAGCCAATGAAAACCATAATACTGACAAAACTCTGTAAAAATCGATGGAACCACTAAATAAAAACATAGAAAAAGAAACAAAAAGAAAAACCGGTAAAAATTTGACATGTCCAGCCAGTTAAACAGTAAAGAAGAAGAAAAACCGGACCCGAGCAGTGACGCAAGCGAGTGAACATGCTGGGAACCTGATTTCCGAGACGGGCCATACGCAAGGACGCCAGAGGCGCGATGTAATAGGAATCGGTATAGGCGATATATAGTTGTCGTTTTCTTTCCTACTTTTTTTTGTCCGTGCAACAAGTCGTCGAGGAATCGCATAGATCACTCGCTCCTGAACTGTCCCAACTAGGCAAAAGCGAGTGAACGTGCTGAGAACCTGATTTCCAGGCCAGGCCAAACTCACGGACGCCAAAGGCACGATGTAATAGGAATCGGGACGGGCGATATATAGTTGTCATGGTATTTCCTACTTTTTTTTTGTCTATGCAACAAGTTGTCGAGGAACTGCATAGAGCGCTCGCTTGTGAACAGTCCCAACTAGGCAAATCGCTACCTAGTTCGGGCAGGTGGCGTATGTTCTTGCTATCGACCCAGCTGCACCATCACACCATTAAATTGATGCTTCAAGCGTGATCAAGGAGGTGTGAAACTCCAAAGAAGCCAACAAACAATAGGGTTAGCGCCAACAATGGTATATCAGCGAGCTCCAGTCCGGAAGCTCGACCAGACGCAATTAGAGCCCTATGTTGAAACTATCACAATCTGGCAACATTGCGACAATCGAGGAGTTTCGTGAACTTGTGAAGCACGTTCCCTTGCGGTTCTTTGTGACGTTAAAACTCAAATACAAAAGACAGACTGAGGCTCTAGCCTCGAGTTTAGCTTTTCGTAAAGCCTTTGATGTAAGCAATTTTTTGATAAATAAGGGTGTCTTTATTGACACATAATGAAGCATCAAGTGAATACAAACACAATAAACAAACACTTGGTCTTTGATGCGTGGCAAGCAGCAAGCTCAGCTAATTCGGCTAGGGAGTTGCAACATAAGCTTCTTTCACTGTATGGTACGATCGAAAGGTGGGACTAGCAAACTTTCGACCACATCTGAAAGGAGATACATGATTTGATGCACAAGTTGACAAAGGGCGTGTTCTTGCATTGCATACATGTCTCAGTTGGGCCTGATTGAGGAAAAACAAGGGAAAAGAATCATCATCTGCACATTGTTTGGTTGCGCATCTAGGTTTCTTGCATTAAGGGATCATTGTGGCATGACGTTTGGTGTCCTGCATTGGCTCGGCTCATGCAACTGCACGGTATTCGTCTCTCTATCTCCTAATTTTCTACCAACGGTCTAAAACAATTGTTGTTGTTGTTGTTGTTCTGAAACAATGCGCATTGGCATATTTCAAGTACTGGGACTTTCCAGGGGCATATTTCAAAATTAGAGAATAATAATGGCATTTCTCAAAACCAAAAACTTTGTAATGGCAGATATCAAATTCATCAACACTCTACATGACCCGCCGAAGCCGGTGTATGCAACGGGTACTAAAGAGATCAAGGAACGGAGCAATCAGCTTCCATCTGGAAAGCATGAAGTGAACATGGAGACAAACAGAGTCGCTCGGAGCTCTGTTCCGAAGGAGCTTTTTTTTCGAAACGGACTTCCGTAGTAGTGTTTGGTTAGTTTTTTTAATTCATTGGAGACAACAGTTATTCATGTTTGGTTAGCTAGTCCGCTTGAAGGCGTAGGAATCCCCGCTATTTAAAATTCTGATGAATAACCGATATTCATGTTTGGGTGTTTACCCCTGCTTTTGTATACTTTTTTTTTTGGAAAAGCCTATGCCCTTTGCGACCCAATGAGCTCCTACCATCAGGCGCTCTAGAATCTACATGCCTGATTGTTCGATATCCTTCCACCATGACATTGTTCAGATGCATACGAGCTTTTGCTCGAGCGCCGAATCCAGACCAGCAATTAGCCCGAGCCCCTGGTGTGATGCGAGCGCAGCCATGCCCCGCCATGGTCAAGAGAGATCATCAGCCTGGCCGGCCCATGGCGTGACTTAGCAGTACGCTGGTGCCAACCGAGAGTCACTGGTGTATGTGAGTTGTTTGTGTGCGTGCGTATGACCAGTGAGTCAGGAGAGGTGTTCGGCTACATAAGCCTGAAATTGTAACTGAAAAAGCAAGTCTGAACCGAGGAACGAAACCCTGGATTCTCCTCCACTCCTCTCTCGTTTTCTCTTCTGCTTCTTCCTCACGTCGGCTATCTATCATACCGGCAAGGGGGCGGTTACACCGCGGCGTAGCAGCATTGCGTGACCACCCAGTATGCGTTACCACTTACCAGCACGTTGAGGTGTTCCATGAGGTCTCCAGACATCATGGAAATGAGGCGATGCTTTGGTACCTTTCTCAGGCAAACCTGGACTTTGAGTTCGTTGCGGCATTCCTTTTCCTTTGCAGAACCCCTCGGTGCTGCGACAGTTCCCTCAGTTCGGCGAGAGAGCAGCGGGGGCACTGCAAATTGCACTGTACATGTTCGGTACGCAGAAGAGCTTCCCGATTGATACGGAGCTGTTGCCGCATGCATCATTTTGGATGATAACCATCACCTGGTCCTTCCTAGTTCTTTCGAAGTTAATGCTCCCAGATGATTCCTTCTACAGATGGAATGATTCTGTACCTGCGGAGAGACTGGTGGAGGTAAGCTTCTTCTAGGATGGTGCAGCCATAGTAGGACAAAGTGGAAAGTCCTAATGAAGGGCAGGATTTCTGGTTTCACTTGGTCAGGTATCATCTGCCTCGAGTCTTCAGATGCACCGCACAACCAATACTTAAAAGAAGGAAGAGATGACACTAGATTTATATATCACAAGATTACTGGTTGGTCAATTGGCATGTCTTGTTGCAAAACGAATTCTAGCATCTCATAGCATCAACATGTACAAATTTTCTTAGTAAAAGCTGATAGAAGAGGACAACATACCTAGCAAGAATCGGGTTGACTGTAAAACCTATGCCGTTGCTGTAAAAACAATGAGTTACGTGTTGCCAGGAAGCTAGTACCTTGCCTGTGTTTGTCTTCTCGAAGAAGCACCGGCTCCCCTATCCTTGGTCTCGATCTTGGAATGCCCCACTCAGAAAGTACGAAGAACGTTTCTTTGTGTTGGTAGCTGGCCTTGTCTGCTTGTTCATCTCCATCGTTTTCACTGTCACATTCTTGTTCAGGAGGGAATGACATATATTCCATAAAGATAACATGAGAGGATGTCTCTAGGAAATAGCTCCAAGCAAGAAAGTACAAGTAGAGCCAACATAGCACATGAGGCAGCAAAGTTATGTTCATTGTGTGATTAATACAGTAGCAAAGTAAAGGACGAATGAATATACCATACCTCGATGCATTTACTAATGGATGATTGGATGGAAGAAAATATATAGGGGAGACGGCATTTTCTATTTTGACATCCCGAAGTCCCAAGACTGAAACCTTATTCGTGTCACACAGATATAAGTTCTTAAGTATGTACGTTAAAGATATAAATAGTACCTCCATAGCAAACATATGTCTTTAATTATACAGGCGCAAACACAAGGGGCAGCAACATAGGTACAATATACAAAGCCTCTACTTGCACTGTGGTCTTCATCCACTTCCGCTCACAGACAGAAAATTAAACTGCTACTTCATCCTTCAAACAAATCACTAATTTTGGTTTTCCACTCCGACTCAAATTCCCTCGCATTTTGTTCTGCAGACTGTCTCTGACCTGCCAAGTGTTCATGGTACGCTCGACTAACAAACTCAAGGATCTTTACACGAAGCTCATCTCGAAGAGCTGGACTGGGTACCTTCAAGCAAATCTGGCTACTGCAAGCTTCATTGAAAGACGAAGCAAAACTCTGCAAGGGAGTCAGAGGCGGAGCCGTGTACCAGAAGTTGAGCAAGTTTATCCTTGCCTTTTTACTGGGAGACATGCTTTTTGCAACCTCCAAGGTGGACGTAACAGGTCCCCATGATGCAGATAGGTAACTCTTTATGTACCCCTTGATCAAGGATCGGCGTTTCTCAAACCACTTGGCTTTTACAGTCAGCTGTACATCTGATTGCTTGACTTCTTGAAGTATCAAATGTACGTTGTTCATCAAGAATATGAATTGGAGTCCTTTAGAAGCAGCACATTGCTTTGACTGTTTATCAATTACTGATTCTAGATCAGTAATGAGCCCAGATACTAGACCACTTGTCAAACTCATTCCCTCAACTTTCAACAGACTGTCAGTGTAAT